TTTTAATGTTGTTGAGTCCAATTTGTTTAAGGAGTTTATAAAACTCCTAAATCCAGATTACCAAATTCCATCAAGAAAAAAGCTTTCAAATCAATTGCTAGATAAAGTTCACAGTGAAATAACATCTGCAGCTGTGAAAGAACATGAAACACTAGGTGTACTGTTAATCGATGGTTGGAAGAATTCTGCTGCTAATAGCAAACTAGTTGTCTGTACAATACACACAATAATGGACAAGAGTATGTATCTGAATTCATGGGACTTAACTGGCATAAGAGAAACAGGAGATGCACTAACAAAAATTGTACATGAAGCAACGGAAATTGCTAAGAGCAAATTCAACATTCGTGTTTATGCCGTCGTATCAGACAATGCTTCTGCAATGATATTGATGGGTAATTCAGTTAATTTATGGCACGTACTTGACGTATTATACCTAGTTTCATACGTGTATATAACCAATGTATAATACGTTAAGTATAATACGTGCCCAACCCTGGTCATGCGTGCGTTCGAAACTCTACGAATGCGCTTGCTGCATTGGAGTAAGAAAGATACAGGAGCACAGATATCTACACTAAACTAGATTGCTAACAGGCTATCTAAAAGCATGTAACGGTTTGTGTTCGATAGAGTTTCCGGTGCATGCGAGAAAATGGCCGTTACCGCCACATATTTTCACTATGTTTATGGCTCCTGTACACAGGACGAGGTAATGTTTGCCGCGCGGCGGAAGTTCGCGCGACAGCCAATCAATATGCTACTTTCCGTAATAACCTTCTAGCGGAAGCGGTGCACTTGGACACAGCCAATCACAGCACCGTGTACTTAGAGACATTTGTAGGGTCACTTGACAGCGACTTGTGATTGGACTGTGTCCAATTGCCCCGTGTCCAACTGATATACGCCCCCTTCTAGCTCTTACGGAAAAACAACATACTGATTGCATGTCGCGTGGACTTCTGCCGCGCGGCAAGCATTACCGCGTCCTGTGTACAGGAGCTATTAGTAATAAAATTCTTTTGTTGAAAATGAGCAGAGCAAATAACGTCCAGTATCATCTATTTTTTTGTTATTTTTTGATGCAATAAGATGCTGGCATTTTTGGTTTTATGACAGTAATTTAATGTCTATGCTGACTCACATTGGGTGCTTTCCAGTTGCGTACACTGTGTACACAAAACCAGTTTATTGGTTGCATATTATCTTACAAGATATTTTAGATAATATGTGACCAATAAACTGGTTTTGTGTACGTGTGTGTCAAAATGTATTAAGCAATTGGAAAGCACCCAATTTAATTTAGTATAGACATCTGGGGGTCGATTGTGTATTTCCAAACAAAGTGAAAATTACAAAAGTGAGCAAATTTTCTAGGTATTGACCAATGAAGTTACAAATATTTTAGTAAATTTGCTCACTTTTATCATTTTCACCACATTTTGAGATACACAATCGACCCCCTGTGTACAGGAGTGAGATAAAGAAAGAAAAGAAACACTCGAGTGGAGTTTTCGAACGCGTCTCATTATGACCGTCAGAAATACAAATTTTACAACAGGAGGTCGACTGTGTATCTTGAAACGGAATGAAAATTACAAAAGTGAACAAATTCACTAAGCATTGACCAATAAAATTATAAATATTCTAGTAAATTTGCTTACTTTTGTCATTTTTACTCCGCTTTGAGATACACAATCGACTTCCTGGTACGAAACAGCTTTCTCTGCTGAACGCCATCTATGTTAAATACATAATGGAGAATTCACATCGCGTCCGATATCCGATGTACGACGTCCGATATTCAATAAAAGAATAAATAGCTTTTCAATGGAGAATTGAATTCTCTATTAGAAAGCTGTTTTCTTATTGGATATCGGACGTCATACATCGGACATCGACGCGGTGTGAATCCTGCATAAGCGCAGTAATATTTACTAGATCTAAGGTCTTTAGAAACTTTGGAATATTCGCATATATTTATCATTGTCGATTATTCGAGAGGAAACAGCAACAATTCAACAGATATTGGGTGCTTTCCACTTGATAACACATAAGCATCATTCTGTCTTTATTCCATATTCAATAAATAACAAAGATAGGATGATGCTTGGATCGATTTGTGTTATTAAATGGAAAGCACTCATTATTATTTCTCTCAGATATAATTTTACATCTACAAATGTCACTCTAATGCAGGATTCACACCGCGTCCAATATTCGACATACGACGTTCGATATCTAATAGGAGAACAGTTTTCTAATATAGAATTTAATTCTCCATTGGAAAGATATTCTTTTATTGGATATCGGACGTCGTACGTCGGACATCGGACGCGGTGTGAATCCTTAATAACCTATATTCGAGATATTTTTGATGTCTCTTCGAATAACCCACAATCATGATGCATAAATATATAGACCCGACACGTACGATCGAGAATTTCTAGTAACTCCAAATCTAGTAAATGATAAACTTCAATTTACTTCATAAATAATTTCGTGTTACGTCCTTTCAAAAATATCTATCAATTTCGGCTTTGATTCTTTTTTTAAACAATATTTCCATTGCATAGTGCAGACAAAGCCACTTGTTGCAAATATCATTATTAAAGGCAATTCTCTCTACAGCATCGGATTGGTCGCCATCGAGATAGTTCCCAGAATATCCGAGAAGCAAAGCTCCCAATTGGTTGCCGCGAACGGTTTCTTTCTGGATAAGAACCGTTACACAGCCGTGAGCGTCCTTTTTATTACATAATATTTTCGCGCAACAGCCGGCGAAAAGCTCGTAAAAGCCCCAAAAGCAACGTCTGATCGGCCTACGAAGCGGATCGCGTCACACGGGATCGATTTCCGGCGAGTTTCTAGTTACGAGAATGGCGTTGAGATCGATTTGCCGGCTGTCAATTGATTCGACCTTCAGGCAGTTGAGCCATTTCGGAGCCACCGCCCGCCCGAGACGACCGTCCTTCAATACGCTCGCACGAAGTTTCGCCGCAGTAGCTGAAAACATGGGTTTGCCACGAGTTTTCTTCGACATGACCGCGGACGACAAGCCCGTGGGTCGCATCGTGATGGAGGTGAGTCGAAAAACGACATGTACACCGTAACGACAAACCGACACTTCGACCAGACCGCGGAGCACCTTCGTGATTCCAGCGTGCATGGCCATTTTGATTCGCTCTTTCGAGCCGGTCGTTCGCGAACGGATCGCGCCCCGGCGTGAGACACGCGTGCCGATCGCGTCGCCGACGTGGTCGTAATGCGAGCTCGGCTAACGACGGAATAAAAGACAAACGGCAAAACTCGACCGGTGATTGTCGCTCTCACGAATCAGTCGAATCATGGCGAACGGTCGTTCGTTCGCCGCGGTGCATCATGGTCGCGCGGGTTTGCTCTCCCGCACACGATCCTGGCCGTCATTGCGAAATTTTCCATTGACCGACGATGAGTCGACGCGCAATTACGAGCGAACTGCACCCGTGCGCACGTGATTTCGCGAGTTTCGCTTCCGTTGTGCTCGGCTTCAGCGGAAAATCAGACAATGGCATTATTCCGAGAAGAACGTGGATGTAGGGAAAAAGAATCTCGCGCATAAACGCGACTGGACTATTCGCAATGGTTTCGCGTCGATGCGATCGATAAGATTTTATTTCTTATCTTCTTTTTTTAATTTTGATAAATCACATGTTTTCTCGATAAATCTCGATAAAACATGTTATCGCTCGCGTGAGGACTTTATCGTGTGAAAATCCGTGCGATGCACAGCGCGTCGACGAATCGCATATTGCGACACACTCTATAAATATCCACCAGCAATCTCGGAAATTAGCAGGGCTCGTTAGCTCGTTATTTCTGCTAAGTAATAGAATAGTATTAGAATTTTATTTTAACGTGCAGGTTCAGAGTTTTATGGACAGATGGCGCGAGAGAGCTGAAGCACCGTCGATACGTCGTTTTCTTGTTGCGATTTTTTATCCTGTGTTCTTTCTTTTTTCGGAAAGCAGATCTTTTAGCTTTTAACGTCAAGCGCCGACGATTTTCTTACCGTAATCATCGCGATACGATCGCGATCGTCTAATCGCGTTATGCGATAATTGAATACGCGAGGCATGCAAGCAGCGACTTCGACTACATTCGTCCGCTGTAACGCGATTTTCCAGCTGAGGAAGGACGTGGTTCCCAAGACGGCGGAGAATTTCCGCGCCCTCTGCACCGGAGAGAGAGGCTTCGGCTACAAGGGAAGCAGCTTCCACAGGGTCATACCGAATTTCATGTGCCAGGGTGGTGATTTCACCAACCATAACGGCACCGGCGGCAAATCTATCTACGGCACCAGATTCGAAGACGAGAACTTCAAGCTGACTCATACCGAGCCCGGTATACTTTCCATGGCGAATGCTGGCCCCAACACTAACGGCAGTCAATTCTTTATCACCAGTGCCAAAACCAGTTGGCTCGACGGAAAGCACGTTGTGTTTGGCAAGGTCGTCGACGGGATGGATGTTGTTAGAAAGGTGCGTATGTGTTCTGCTGCGGGATGATCAATCTCAACGGCATCTCTAAAACATAGATGGTAGGTCGTGACTGCATTTCTGGCGAAAAACGCGCGTATACGTGTTATTCTAAGGCTGAAGTCCCATGGCATGTATTTTCCGCGTATCGCGTAAACGCGTAACCAATAAATTACAACGTTTAGTGTTTCTGTTGGAACTTCTAAAAGAATAGAAAGATGTGATTGATTACGTGGTTACGCGTTACGCGAAAATATATGCCATGGGACTCCATCTTCAGGGAAAATTTTCACATCTTGAGTTGCGCTCCAAAATGTCCTTTTTTAGGAAAATTTTACTCCATATTCTATATGTAACGTGAATTATAAGTAAGATGACCAGATTCCAGCCCTGAATTTGGGACACTTCATAAATGTGTGAAACGGGGGGAGGCGGGTTAAAAGATCCGAAAATTATTTGACAATCATTGAAAATGACGGCAAATCGGTATCCCGAATAGCACTCGAAAAAATTCGGGACAAAGAGTAAAAAATCTGGTCACCTTAATTATAAGGCACTGAGTAAAATTTTCCTCAAAAAGAACGTTTCAGAATGCAAACTTGGCAGAAAAGTAGAAAGCCTCGTAAGTTAAATTTGTCTTGCATGTTTCCATACTGAAAGTACCATTTTATTTTCCTTCTAAATGTAATGAACGGTAAAGATAGAATGATGCTTTCAGAGCACGGAAGTACAAATGCAAGACAAACTTAGCTATAGGGAAAAAGTTGCAAACTCGATCACGTTACCGAATCCCGGGTATCGGAATCCCTTGCGTACATATAAATAAGGAAAGCTAGATTAAAGTCAAAGTTACTATGCCGCGTCAACAGATCAGAAAGTCTTTTAATATGTGTTCAAGCATCAAATTCTCAAACGCACATCTCTTTTAATGGACACTAAAATCAGCAAGTGCTTTCAGCAGAGAGAAAGCTGCTTTACAATTTGTGAGATTTGTGAATCTGATGGGTATACGCTCTTAACTTTGCTTGAATCTAAGAGCGTATGCCAATTAGATTCGCGAATTTTACAACAGTTGCGAAGCAGTTTTCTCTGCTGAACGCAGCTAATAGATCGTCTATGGAGACGGAGATTGTTACAGCAAGCGAGCAAGCTTTTCTTACCTACTTCTATACTTGTATTTGCACAAAGGACTCTGGCAACCGAGACCAATCAGGGAGGAGTCGGTCACGTGATCGAGTTTGCCACTTTCTCCCTACGAGGCTCTCTGCGGAAAGGTAGAAGCCAATCAGAATTCGCGCGGGTGGTCAGGTGATAGTCGACAGTTTCTGCTTTTTTACCAGCGCGAATTCCGTTGGCTTCTGCCTTTCTGCTTTCTGCCAAGGTATGAATTCTACCCGAGAAATTCCCTTCCTTGATATACCAAGAGAGAATTAAGTACAGCGGCATTGTTTTTCAGTTGGAGGCCATGGGATCTCAGAGTGGCAAGACCTCAAAAAAGATCGTAGTAGCAGACTGTGGAGAGTTGTAGACCGACTAGATATTGTGATGACTGCATTTTTATTTAGCTGTTGCATACATATTTACAGTCTTTATTACCCTTACTTCCATTCTCATTGAACGCATGTCCCCTCTCACACACACACACACACACACACACACACACTCTTTCTCTTTCTCTCTTTCTCTCTCTTATCTGATGGTGACAATTTATTCTTGTCTGATTAAACATAGGATTTGAAGCTTGTTCAACATAGAGACAAAAAGAACTACCTGTATTGTTCCTCACTTCATCTCTCCTCTTCTTGGCTTCCTTCCCTTCTCCTTTTTGTCCTTTTTTCTCGAATAAACTTTTCTTCCTTTGTCTTTACCGGGCGACAGATTTTTTCTTGACAAAAATTATCTGGTGAAAGATTTATACTCTTTTTTTTGTTGTTGTGCTCTGCGACCTGTTGTTTTACAGATTTATACTAACGCGATGTGTCTTTTTTTGCAAAAATCCATATTCTTCCACAAAAACACGCTCGCTTAGCACCGTTGAAAAGTGTGGTGAAAGAATTAGACGCAGTAATCTCCAATTTTTGTCGTGTCATCCTGCGAGAGAGTTAATCGATATTCAGAATACGAGGAACTCTTATAAAGTGCAGTAGATTGTTTTGAGAACTCAAGAAAGAAATTAGGATTTTGATGCACCGATTCCAGTGTTAATTGATGCATTTATCCTTAGCGTCGTATTTTTCAACTTAACATACGATGCTTATAACACTTCTATGCGTATGCGTGTGTATATGATTCTTACACATGTCAGGTGTCACCATTACAATTTTCGTTTTATGTTCCTTCGTATAAGTGTATTCCTCTATCCGTCATTCCTCTACCGAGTATGAAAAAGATACGTGTTTGCTTATTGTAATGCGGGCAATGCCTGATAATAATAATAACATCTTATTATAATACAACACCAACGAGTTGAAAAAAGAAATGTAGTTGCAACAGTCTGAATAGTTCCGATTTCTTAAAAATAAAATTGTTTTCAGAAAGATCCATAAGCTTGCATTTCATTTATATTACACTGATCCTGTAGAATTATAAAACCGATAGCACGTACACGCACAAAGCTTCGATAAAGATTCTACATTTACTAGCTCGAATCTCATTGATTCTTCTAATCACATTTGTTCACATCGTGTTCAGATCTGCGTATACGTTGCCTGTTAATTACTCGGCTAATCTAGCATTTCAACAAACTTGACACCCCAAACAGCATGAATTTTTTAAAAACATCTAGAAGAAAGGAGAACGTCTTTTTACATATCTTTAGGGTCGCTTAGAAGCTTGTACTTATCTAACACATTGTATCTACAAACGCGATAGAGACGATCAGGAGAACCAGCGAGTACCAGAACTTTATTAAAGCTTAGTGCGCAGAAATTAAAAGCGAATCGATCGATCTACGCGAGACATTTACATCTCAAAATTACCATTTCTTCCTTTTTATAAACGTTACATATTCAAGCATGGGGGTGTAACGTCGATACTGACCTTTTCCGTTGCCCTTTCGCATTACTCGCCGCGTCGGGAAACTTTAATAACGTGTGTGTCAAGGCTGGGACATCGATACACGAGACGAAGTCGTAGTGTTTGCAACATTTACGATCAACGTATATTTCATATATTTCATCCTTCCACATTCGCGTCTTGATCTCGCCAGAAAACATTGACAGAGAACATATCGATATCTCTTATTTATATACAATTCCGTATTACATCAGGACACTTGGGTAATCTAAGCTAACATACAAAGAGCCTCTGCGCTAAGTCTAAGATACACACAAGCGAATCTCACGCTTTCGGGTAATTCTGCTTAAACGCAATGATGATGAGAGAAACGTGACGAGAGCGCAAACTAAATTGACAATTTTCCTTGATCCATCGTTTCAACGCGCAGCGACATACGGTCAAGTGTATCTGAACAGCGTAAACTTCTGAAAGACGTCTTCGAGATGTTTAAAAGGCGTCCTATCTCTTTCAGTCGTCTTTTAGGCTTGTATCAATAATCACTGAACTCTTTTCAAGTGAGATACTCAGATTTGAATTCAGAATTAAATGAGAGTTTGTCAGTTGAATCGCACAATTACAGATACATATATATTATAATTAAACTAAAAAACTTGGATCTAACTCTGAATATAAATCTGAGTATATCACATGTGACAACTATTAAGGGGTATATTGAAGTCGATGACAACCTCGAACAATGTCGATAAGAGAAAGACGTTACTAACACAATCAAACTATTCTTTTCATATAGATCTTACTTTGTTTTATCATATTCAATGAAAAACCTAATCACGCATGAAGAAATTTAAAATAGAAATTGAAAATTTTTTACAAACTTTTTAGATATTTTTAAGTTCTTGAATTTGGATGCGAAAAGATACAGCAATGTTCTTTAAAATTTTTCTATTTGGAGCATCCACACTCTCGGTATATACAAGCTGTGGAACTTTTGGATTATAGGCAAATATTAACTGACAGCTTGAGATTTTACATAAAAAATATTTTTCATTTTCCTAACATATTGAACAATGCTCCTATTTATTTTTGTACGTAGTCTATTGCGTGAAAGCATTTGTAATTCTGTACAATCAATATGAAGTAAACTTCGCAGGAAAGTGTCAGTATTCTATCGGCAAGGTTTTCAGCTCCAGCATCCTCTTAATATGCGACTTAGAGGACTTAGAAATTTATGCTGTCCGAGTAATACCTTGCTGTGTCGTTATTGTACTGTAAGGTGTACCACTCTTTTTTTTTTTGTACGTATATCGGTATCTCTATATCAGTGGCGGTTCGTGCGGTCGCGATTAGGAGATAGAGGAATGGGACAGTGAAAGGAACAGGAAAAGCGGTGAGATAAGAGAAACGACAGACAAAACGCCAATGACACCGGACCAGCCGCCACTACATCCCTTCAAGAATATATCATATGGATATTAATATATATATGTTATCATATCTCTAACACGTGCTCCTTTGACCCGCAAAGGATAGATCAACGTTCACGACTATCGATAAGTTATCATTGTTAATACGAGAAATGCACTTACACAGCACAGAATATCTTATTTTACACTGTAATATCTCTCGCAAGAAAATCTTTTGCGCCAATGTGGACTTACTCACATATTATCCTCCACTAATCCACCTCGTCGCGCAATTTCTTTTCGCACGAAAAGAGAGCCTTGGAGATCTGTATTTCGTATATATTTATCGACAATTGTCGGTTTGGCACATATATATATATATATATATATATATATATATATATATATATCGTTGCACAGATATAATTATATTATAAGATAACTGTGCAACAAGTACCAGATCGATAGATGTCGATAATGAAATTCGCCAAACGCGTACGAAATACAGTCTTTACTTATTCTATAATTTGCTTATTTTATAATCTCGTAACGGCAATGAAATTGTCGTTAAATGTCGTTACGTAGCTATATCTACGCATATCTACGATATATCTGCGGAACGACGCGTAACAACAGCGATATAGTCGTTAAAAGTCTAAAGATTCACCAAACTTTGACCAAACTAATCGAAGAATAACTCGCAAACTTCAATTTCCAGCTGTGTAATTTATCGTCCCGTAGTAATCGAAAAAAATTATTTTATTAATATATTTTACTTCAAAAAATACATCCAAGAAGTAGGACTTGGTTTATAATATTATTTATTTACTCATTCCTTCATTCTCTCATTGGTGACCGAAAAATTAATAACCTCTATTTTAGTAAAGCGGAGCAAGTGATACTTGACTGATAGCGATTTTAAATCGTCGATTGGACTGATCAGAGTTTGGTGAAGATGTCGTCCTGAGCATACATAGGTACATTCACGAGACACGAAATATCGACTTCGAGACCTTCAAAATCGAGAGAATGTGAATGAAGGATCGTTATATCTCACATCGTAATATGCAATCGAAGTAGACACGGAAAAAAGAAAAGAGATCATTCTTGCGGAGGATTGTCGGTCGATTGTACATCGTCGACGTTGCGTGGAACGTCGCGCACCTCGTAGAAAGAAACGAACCGAGTCACGGGATCGTCAGGAATGGTACGACGGTGATGATGGTGCACTACTTGACAAAGAGATCCTTGAGGGAGGAGCAAATCGAAGATTCGCAGTCCGGCGGCTGCTCCTGCTCCTTGTTGCCGCTCGAGAACCAGCTAGTCACCTTGCCGGAGCGTGGCTTGTTCGGTGACATGGATGGCTTTCCGGATGAACTGGCCGGTGCTTCCGCGTCAGTTCCCTTGTGGGCCGTGAGAATCTTCTCGATGGCATTGCCAAGCACCTGCCGACGTTGAGTGGAAAGTTACATTTTATCTCGCGTCATCGCGCGAGAACTTTAGCCTTTTTCCTTGGAGTCTAAGATCAAGTCAAAGATACGGGCAAGCGAAGGGCTCGTCGTTTACGATCGAAATCGATCACTTGCGACTGCAATTTTTTCTCAGAAGAATAGAATCATCAATATTAAAATCGCGAATTGCCTCCTCTGTATATTTGACAAAATAAAGCTTATATTTATATTTCACGATCCATGTTGCTGCTACTACTTTCTTCTCAGATTAACAAAAAATAGACATGTTGGCCAAAAATACTGTAACTTCAGTAGGATTAATTACTTCCTTTTCTCAGTATCCTCATTCGCGATTCTGCGATTTCATCGGCGGCATTCATTTACCTGAGCGTCCACCTTGGTACCACTGCTGTCGTCCCAGACAACCTTGTGTCTGGTGTCCAAGTCCTTTGGAGGCGAGCCCTTGCTCAAGGTGTCCCTGACGACCTTGACCAAATTCGACTTGTCGAGTTTGAAGGATCGCGAATTCTCGTCCAGGTACCGGTTCTTCTTTGAGATCGGTTGATGCCGCTTGACGAACCAAGTGCTCGGTGCTATGAGAGAGGCGGGGGTGGCGGTTTTACCGTCGTTGTTCACCGCTTTGCTGTTGGCGTCGCTCAGGATGGACACATCGAAGCTGTTGGAGCGGGAGCTCTTCAGACGACTGCGCTTCTGCTCCGCCGTCTTGGTGGACCAACTCGACTTCTGCTCGTCCTTCGAGTTCGAAGTGCCGCATGTGTTTATCTCCGTCGCGGACGACGTCAAGGAGCTCAGGATGGATATTAGGTCGGTGTTGGAACATATGATACCTGCCGCCGGGCTACTCGGTACTTCGACCTCGCACAGCGGCCTCGTCATCTCGGATGCACGTCTACGCAAAGTCGACGTGGACGCGATGGACGCCGAGAACTCGGAGAATCGGCGTTTCTGATGCTGCGTGTATTTCTGCGTGGAGTTGCTGTTACCCTCGAGAAGCTGGACCTCGCACACGCGCTCACGGGATGGGGTCTTGTACATTTTTAAACGTACCTGAAAGGGACGCGTTTGCACGAGCATTAGGCGAAGCGTGTCGTTTGATTATTTAAAAATGTATTCTAGTCCGATTCTGTATTCAGGGTCGTCGTAAGTTCATCTTGAGATGTTAAGTAATTAATGAAACAAGAGCATTCTACAGCACTTTACTCGCTAAGTTGCTTTGGGTGAAATTCCACTCAAAACAAGTGAAAATTTACTGTAAATTTTTTATGGGAATTTTGCCATTTTTTTTTTTCGGAATTACATGAGCGAATATTTAACTTGAATTTATAAAGTGAAATTTCTTTTTAATTTATGTATAAGTAAACGTTTCACACACGAGATTTAGAGATTATTCGAGACGATTTAGATTATTTATATTAGAATATGAATTTTTTTATGATTTTACCGTAGCAGGATGAAATACATCAGACCCACTGTACAATTTCGAACGAAAATATTTACTCTCAACGATTTATACCAGGGAATTTATTTTGTATAAGTAAAAAAATCACTTCAAGTGGCTTAACTGTTATTTTGCTTTTCGAGTTGAATTTCACTCCGAGATATCTAGACAGTAAAATCAACTTTAAACGATCTCAAATATAAGATATCGTATTGTAAATATCACTCTAAGTCATACGCTTACCTCTTCACTTTTCTGTAGTACAATTTTACACATGATTTCATCAAATTAAACTATCGGATTTATTTGTTTAATCTGAAGAACGCCGTTAATCTCTAGTTTAAATTGGACACTTCTGTACCTCGATATCCGAAACGAAAACCTACTTTTCTAGCCTTGATTTCAGCAATGTCGTCCATAATATCGAGTTGCAGATTATGAGTACTTCCGCTATTACTGGGCGGACCGGTTAGCCCGGTCGACGATTCTCGTCGGCTCTGCAATATCCTGGTGGCACCTCCCATGGGAAACGCGGCGATGGATTCTCGACGGTTGCGTCCGAAGAGGGTGTTTGGCACCCTGGAGATGGTGACGACGGAATGTCGTCGACCGCCTGCCTGAGGAGCCGGCGCCTGCGAAAGCGTTGCCAGGAAGGCGGCCTCCCTCACCGACGGGCCGGATCCTTCTCCACCGCGTTCGCTCAGTCGTCGCACCTGTTCGCATAATGTCGTCGTCGCGTGTATTATTCGAAAAGAGAATGTCAAGTACAACTACAACTACCTAACAAGATGACTACCTAATTAGCGACGTTATAATGTTTGGGCAACATCAACTAGTTAACATTTAAATTATATATCGTCTGTTATCTACGAGGAGTAAGCCGACTTGAAGTTGAGTCTCATTAGAAATTTCCATGTTGGCATTTCGACCGTAATCTTCGAAAACTCAATTTATATTTCTATAACTACTTGAACTTTGAACTTTGCCGCGGATTTTCTTTAAGATGCGAGATATACAACGTACGAAATATAACATAGATATATAACATACTTCTATTAACATCCCACATGACACATGCACGTATCAGAAACGTTTCTCAAACGTATCTATAGTTTCAGAACCATAAAGCATCAATCAGAAACGTTTTAACAAGAACCTTTCTGAAATCTTATTTATGAAACGTTTATAAAACGTTTTAAGACGTTTCTTCAACGATTTTTTCGCAAACATAACATTTTACCTAACGTTTTTTGAGTGGACATTTTTACTTATGAGAAACGTTTCAGAAACGTCATGAAACATTTTGGAAACGGTTATGAAACGTTTGGTTCTGACGTTTATAAAACATTTCTAAAACGTGTGTGTGCTACTTAGGATATTACTTTTCATGTTATTATTATCAAAAGAAAATATTCATTCTCTCACAATGAGAGAAATTTGAAAATCAGTCTTCGAGATTGTGATTTCTTCTGTCTTTCTTTTTTTCTTATTTTTTTTTATTTTCTTCGGAAGAGGATCACAACTACTGTAGCCTATATAATAACGGCTTATTTCAAGCTAGTAGGGTATGTTTTCTTTACCTTTTTTTTTTAGCAACATCGCATTATCGTTATCACTGTCATGTGGCGTTTGACAAACGTTTACCACGACTTCCTTCGCGGACACATATGCGTACCTGGGATGCGGTTATCCCGGATGTACACTGCGGAGTCGGTAAGGAGTGCTTCCTGGCGTCCCTCCATGGCGAGAGCAGATAGGGATTCAAAGATGGTGAATCCGGATCCACGCATCGCGGTGGCGATTCCGTTCGACGACGCTCCGCTTCTTCCTCGCCCAACGTGCTCTCCTCGACGACGATCAGCGGTTCTCCGGCGCCACTTCCGCTGCTCAGACCCGAGCAAAACGACTGCCTCCTCATCACGATGCTAATGTTCTGTCGATCCTATCTACAATTAGCACAAAAGTCAATATATCAATCAAAATTCAAAGAAAGGAAATAAAATTTACTGAGATTTTCGGAAGAGGAATGACATTTCGGGTCGATATGCACAGTATTTAATCGTAATTAATTTAATGTAACATTCATTCCGATTAATGAAATAAAGTTATCGCGTATTTAAAACTGCACACGATACCATTATATTTTAAGACCAACAAGAGCCAGTCGGAGGATTTAGTTTACGTGATTAATTTTCACTATGGGAGGATAATAATACCTCACGATGTATCGTACGCAAGAATCTTTTTTTATTATAACGTACAGTGGATAATTTTTATCCATCGTTTAATCGATTCTGTGTATATATATTCTGCTTTATCCGAAATTAAATTATTAATTCCCCATCGCCTTATTATTACAAGATATTTGGCAATTTCTTTTTAAATATAATGGAAATTGTAGTGAGCCTTATTTCTAAAATGTTTGTTGCACACGATATTAAAAAATTCCAGGCGAAAGCCTCGTTCGATTTTCCACAGAGACAGATATTTGCCAATGGATAAAGCGTCGTGGCATGCAGTTCGGTGTACATTGTCCGATTAAATCCGTGTAATTCGTATCACACACCTCGACTCGATATCGAGCGAGTAACTCGACAACTTTGCGTACCAGGGAATTCGCCTTGTGGGTTTCATTAAGTCTTAACAAGTTCGTCGATATCGGCACCGTGTCGTTAATTAAATTAAAATTTATTTCGTACAAATACTATGTTCTAACCAAAAAAGAAGAGATCAATAAGTTTTCTCCTTTGTCTTCTTTCTCATCCTCTCTTTTGACGAAACTTCCAGAAGGAACAAAAGTCATAAAAATCCATCTGTAGAAATAGTTTGAATTGCTTGAAGGGGAAACTCAACAATTAAAGTTTAATGAATCTTAAAGATATCTTAAAGATACACCGAGGGTTAAACGACGGGGGTGAAATCTCCGTCTCAATATATTTATATAAGACATAACACCGCCGAGAGCAAGGTATACACTCTCGACAGTCATAATGCACGGCCATAAATTTAAAAAGTTTCACGCGACTGTCAAGGAAAGGAGTAGTAGCATTAAGGATCACGTTGCGCAGCCGTTACACAAATATTAGTCCGGGCAAAAGTTATCGCGCCTGGGTCAGCTCATGATAATAAAAGTCACGATCGGTTTTTTTATCGCTTTTTCCTCTCGAAGACACGCGTGCATTACTTTTCGCTGTCAATTATTCGCAGAAGCACCGCGCGTGATTCGAAATATTCAAAATGACATGGCAGATCCTCGAAGATGGATTGAATCGTACCAAAAGAATCTGCCGATTCTATTGTTCGATTCAGCCGTTTCTCGGCCAATCGCAGCCACACCCGCGCTTTCGATCGACGACGAAAAAGCCGCCTGCCCAGTCGTCGTCCTGGTAACGGCGATAAAACCGGAAATTAATATTCGAACACGTAGGTCAGATAGCTGTCGGACTGAAAATAGCCGACCGGCTGAAAATAGCGGGGGTGAAGCCACAGGAATTCCGGTGGTGAGGCCGTCCGCAGGAAAATCGCTTGCGAGACGGAAGTGGATTGCTAGGAAAGCAAGAGTAGGATGACCCCTATATAAGGTGACGGCCGCTTGACGGACACTTGAAGACATTATTGTCTAACAATTCAGACGATTCGAATCCGGTCCCGAAGCAAGAAGCCAAATCTCCGTGGCGAGTCATGAAGCTGCTTGCTGTCTTCGCCCTCTTCTGCGTGTTGGCGTACGCCTCGGCCGACCCAATACCTGCCTTTTACGATGAACCGACTGACGAACTGAGTAAGCATATTTCGTTGATTTAAAATTCATCGCGCAATCCTTTTCTCATCTTCATCGTCACGAGTCGACGATCACCTACCGAGGTTTTTTACTCAGGACGACGTTCACGGTCCGATCTTGTATTTGAAACCGTCTTAAGCCCAGTTTGAGAAGATATAAATAATGCAAGTGATCGCTTGTGATGGCCTAACTTGGTCTGCATAAATAGCCGTCGCTTCAAACTTGCCTCAAGTGAGAAACGGATTGAAATTTAGGCCCGTATTGAAGAGTTATTACCTAAAATTTATCTCAGATACTCAATATAATAATATAAACTTGCCTGAGATATTCAGATCAGAATTTTGGAGTTAGGTCTGAGTACTTTAGTTGAATCATATGATATACGTGATATTATTATTATCCTAAAATAAATATATATAATATTATTATTCTAAAATAATTATTATATAATAATATTATTATCCAAAAATAAATATTCGGAAATATTCATATTATGCCGACATAGAAATTTTTAACGAAACTCAACTTCAAATCGGTTTATTCCTCGTAGATAACAGACAATTAAATAAACCACGATTTATTTAAAGGCTCTTCCCAGGGCTCATTTCGTATATTTGTCTTTTTTACGTAACTACACGGAAAAAAAAGATTTGCTAATATATGGAAAACTAAAAATATTAGTTGCAGGAACAAATTTTCTTTGCCAATATATATATTAACAAATCTTTTAGCTGTACCAACTAAATAACTTCGTTAAGCAAGAAAATTTGCTCCTGCAGCTAATATTTTTAGTAGTATATTAGCAAATCTTTTTTTTCCGTGTATATAAAACAGACTTGGTTTGATAATGTGGACATAAAAAGGAATATGTTCAATACATATATGAAAGATTGTGTGACGAAAAAAAAGTGTTAAACAATATTCCAAAGTATTCTATGAAAATTTTTCATTTGGGGATCTCACGCCAGACAAGTTTCAAGCAACGACTACCAATACATCGACCTCCAGTACCTTGAGATAAATCTAAATAGATTGAACTATGAATATCACTCTCAGAGATTCCCCGCAAAAATTGCGCATGGTTGCTACGGTGATGCGTCTCGATACTTTTCATCTCGACGCGTCACTTCGAGATACAGTGCGAGGGAACTTCTCGATGGAGTAATAAATATCCAGAGTACGGGCTACACAGAATAGCCGCGTCACTCCGACTCTACTCTACGCTTCTGGCACGCCTCCGATAATACGTTGTCGATATCCTTTCGCGTCGTAGTCCGACGCGTCCTTCTCCCCCGACAGGACAGCTATTTCGTTATTATTAGGACCTTAACTTAGTTTCCGCCCGCAAATGTTAGATGGCAATGCAAACAGTTCTAGTAGTCATTACTAACGAAACAGGTAGTTTGTGATTAATTTCGACATTTCTCGATAACATTCAGTCAGCATACACAATTATTTTCCTAAACAACAATTTCTTTTGCTTTGTGAAAAATGGAACGCGATAAAGTGTTTTTTCGACATGTGCTTTTGCACTATTTTGATTTGAAAAAA